AAACAAATGGAAAAACATTCCATGCTCATGGATAGGAAGAATCAACACTGTTAAGATGTTCATCCTACCAAAGGCAATCTGCAGATTCAGTGCAATACCCATTAAATTACCAATATCATTCTTTTCAGACCTGGAAATGACAGTACAGAAATTCATATGGAAACATAAATGACCATGAATAGCCAAAACAATCCTTAGCAAAAGAAACAAAGCAGGGGTTATCACACTTCCAGACTTCAAACTTTACTGTAAGCCTACAATAATCAAAACAGCCTGATATTCGTACAAGACCAGGCATACAGACCAAGGAACAGGATAGCGATTCTGGAAGTAAAGCCTCAATTTCTCAACCAACTCTTCTTTGACAAAGCCTCCAACAACAACCACTGGGGAGAGGAGAACCTATTCAGTAAATAGTGCTGGGAAAACTGGCTGATCACATGCAGATTTAACAGGAACCCTATCTATCACCATACACAAAAATTAATTCTAAATGTATCAAAGACCTAAATGTAAAATGTCAAACTATAAGAATCTTAAAAAATGCAGGAGATACCCTTAGGGAAATTGGAACTGGCAACCAATTCCTGATCAAAACCCCAGGTACCCATGCCATAAGAGATAAGATAGACAAGTGGGACCTCATCAAACTGACAAGCTTCTACAAAGCAAAAGAAACCATCAAGAGATTGGGGAGACAGCCCACAGAAGGGAAAAAGTATTTGTCAACTGTATGTTTTACAAAAGCCTAACATCTAGGATCTACAAGGAACTCAAACGCGCTGAAAGGAAAAAAACAAACAGCCCCATTCAAAAGTGGGCAAAAGACATGAATAGACAGTTCTCAAATGAAGACACACGGGCAGCCAACAGACACATGAAAAAGTCCTCAGCCTCACTAATTATCAGAGAAATGCACGTCAAAACCACATTGAGATACCACCTAACCCCAGTAAGAATGGCCACCATTATTAAAACAATAACAGATGCTGGCAAGGATGCAGAGAAAAAGGAACGCTTCTACACTGCTGGTGGGAATGCAAACTAATGCAGCCTCTTTGGAAGACAGTGTGGCTGGCGATTTCTGAAAGAACTAGAAATTGGCCTTCCATATGACCCAGCAATCCCCCTGCTGGGAATATACCTGGAGGAACTCAAGTCATTCTGCCAAAAAGATACCTGCACACACGTTTGTTGCAGCTCTATTCACAATAGCAAAAACATGGAACCAACCATGCTGTCCATCAAAACTGGAATGGATTTTTAAAATGTGGTACATATATATACACAATGGAATGTTATGCAGCCATAAAGGACAAACATATGGACTTTGCAGCAACTGGATAGATGTAGAGTTTATCGTACTCAGTGATCTATCACAGAAACAAAGAACAAAGGACCATATGTTCTTACTCATAAGTGGACCTTGAACAACTATCATAATACTATAAGAAGTTATTGGCAGTAGTGGGAAACTGCCAGGGGAGGGGGGTTGGGATTGGCAGTTGAGAGAAACTACCAGGGGAGGGAGGGACACACCATATCAACAAGTGTACCTGCATAATGAATATTTGTATACCTAACCCTGAATTGTATCTCACAACTTTAAAATGAAAAAAATAAAAACATTAAAAAAAAAAAATCCAGTATGAACATTCTGTGTTCTCTATTTCAAGAATTCAGTTCATGTATTTTAATGTGTTTAATGTTATTTCTATATCTTAATGTTATGTATAAAATATATATAAATTTACATGTTTATTTTGTTTAATGTAATATCCTATTTGCCCAGGCTGGAGAGCAGTAGCACCATCACAGCTCACCACAGCCTCAACCTCCTGGGCTCAGGCGATCCTTCTGCCTCAGCCTCCAGAGTTCCTGGGACTATTGGCACATGCCACCACACCTGACTAGCTTTTTAAATTTTCTGTAGAGACAAGGTCTTGCCATGATGCCTGGGCTGGTTTCGAACTCCTAGGCTCAAGTAATTCTCCAGCCTCGGCCTCCCAAAATTCTGGAATTATCGGCATGGGCCACCACACCCAGACTCATGTTGTCTTTTCTAATGTCTGTTTTCTCTCCTTCTTTATTTTCTTTTAGATTGGTATTCCAACTCTATATTCCATTCCTCTTCCCTCTTGACTATTAATTACATATTATTTTATTATTTGTTTACTGATTATCCCAGAAATTGTAGCACATGTTACTGACTTATTATAATTTACTATTTTTACTACTTCCTGGAAAACCAAAAACCATAGAGGACCTTAATTTCCTTTTGGCTAAAGTATATGCCATTGTTTTAAATACATGTAACATACAATATTTTAGTCCCACAGACATTAATTTGCAACCTCATTAGACACTAGATTTTTAAAAATTTATACATTTTAATCTTTTTTTTTAAAGAGATAGGGTCTTGCTATGTTGCGCAGGCTTGTATTGAACTCCTGGCCTCAAGCAGTCCTCCTGCCTCAGCCTCCCAAAGTGCTGAGATTACAGGCATGAGCCATCACGCCTGGCCTACACATTAGATTATAATAATTTTGATGTATCTATGTACATTTTCATTGTTTCATAAAATGTATCTTACCATTTTCATTGTTCCTCATTTCTTTCAGCATTTTCAACTTTCTATATAATATTCCTCTACCCAATGTATCTTTAGTATTTCCTTTATTGTGTCTATGAGTGGCAGACTCTCAAATTTTACTGGAGAATATCTTTATTTCAATGGATACTTTTGCTGGATATAAAGTCTAGTTTGGCAGTTTCTTTCAGCACTATGAAAGATTTAATATTTTTCTGGCATCAATTATGTCTGTTGAAAACTTAGTTACCAGGCTGGGCATGGTGGCTCACGCCTATGATCCCAGCACTTTGGGAGGCCGATGAGAGAGCCCATGGGTTCGAGACCAGCCTGGGCAAATTGGTGAGACCTCATCTCTATAGTAAATCAAATAATTAGTCAGGCATGGTTGTGCATGCCTGTAGTTCTAGTACTTGGAAGGTTGAGGTGGAAGGCTCGCCTGAGCCCAGCAGGTGGAGGCTGTGGTGGCCGGGAGCATGCCACTGCCCCCTCCAGCCTGGGTGGCAGATTGAGACTCCTACTAAAAAAATAAAAGAATCAAAAGAAAACTTTGCTACCAGTTTTATTGCTATTCCATTCACAGTAATATGTAATTTCTCCCTGGCTGTTCGCCACTGCCCTTTGTCTTTGGTTTTCAGCAGTTATACCATGATATGCCTAGTTTGTTGTCTGTTTGGATTGCTATAACAAAATACCATAGAATGGAATGAGTAGCTTGTGAACAACAAAGACTTCTCACACTTCTGCAGGCTAGAGAGACCAGGGCACCAGCAGATTCAGTGAGCACCCACTTCTCATAGATGGCGTCTGTTACCTGTGTCCCTGCATGGCAGAAAGGGGCAGTGAGCTCTCTGGGGTCTCATTCCTAAGAGCACTAATCCCATTCCCAGAGAACCCACCTCCTGATGCTATCATCTTGGGGTTAGGATTTTAACATACGAATTTCAGGGAAACACAAGCATTCTGATCATAGCATATGTTTTCCATATATTTATTCTTATTAGAGTTGACAGGGCTTCTTTAATCTGTGGCTTAATGTCTTTCATCCATTTTAGAGAATTCTCAGCCTGAAATTCAAATGATGCTTCTTCCCAATTCCCTTTCTCCTCCTTTCCACACTGACCATCGAGTCTCCTGCCTGTCCTGTGGCCTCTTTTATGCTGTTCCTTTTGTCTCCCATGCTGGCATCTGGACATTTTTTTCTGGTCCATCAGTTAACTGTTTCTTTAGTGTTGTATGATTTACTGTTAAACTTATCCATTTATTTACTAATTTAATATGGATCTTTTTTCAGTCCCAGAACTTTCTTTTGGCTCTTTATTATTGATTCCAGCTCTCTGTAAAATTCTAAAACGTGGGATTGACTTCCTCCACCAAATTAGTCACAGTTTTCTTGAAGTTCACGTCTGATCTATCTGGATCTTTGGTGAGTCTGCTTCTACTGCTGTGCTTTCTCTTTATCTGTCCTATATTATGTTCTTACTTGTCAGATTTTTGCTTGTTTGTTTTGGTAGCCAACATTGCATTTGAAAAAATTTAGAGATAAATGGAGACCAAGGCTAATGTTATCTTCTTCCAGAGAGAATTTACGTTTGCTTCTGTCAGGCAGCAAAGCCCAAGCTCCAGCAATCCCAGATCCCCTTGATATAATTAAGAACAAGAGGCCTGGAACTCGGCTGCGATCCTCTGGAGGATGGTCACCATCCAGGGTGTCCTCCTGGGCTCTAGGTGAGCCTGTGTATGTGCCAGGCTACCTCTCCTGTCGGGTCCTCAGTTCCACTTTCTGTCTCCCTATCCCTGAGAATTTGTCAAAAGTTTTGCTGATTTTCTCAGCCTCACTGAAATGATAATAAAATGTGGTCTTTAGTTAGCCTGATCCAACCAAACATTTCTTAAAAAAAAACAAGAAGTGACTTTTTTTAAGCTCTTCCTCTGATGGGTCATGCTTTTCCCTAAGGTTTGGCCTCCCTCCCCTACCTCGGGGAGGTGAATCTCCTCTCTCTCTCTCTAATTTACTTTCTAAATAAACTATATTTTCCAATCTAAAAAAAATAGAAGCCTGAGAGATTTAACTTCTAGTCTCAGACGTTTTTATCACTTAAACACATGATTTTGTTCTTATTTAATAAATGATAACGTTTTTACAATCTAATTTAACCAAGTGTTGTTTGAGCTTCAAATTATATAGTAACTAAATGTCAAACCCTGTTCCAAAGCACCAACATATTAATTAATTTAACCTAGAGTTGTATAACCAAATGAAGAAGCAAGAACAGCCTGATATAATATAGATCAATAAGGATTTCAGAGTTGACATATAGAGTTTTCACATCACAAAAAACTAATAAAGCATGTTTAACATTCTAAGATCTGGTAGAACAATAACCACCAAATAAATATGTGTACATACTTTTACATCCCATTTTTGCGAAAAGGTTCTTCAAGTCAAGATACTTAGCTTGTATTCCACACACAAATATTTTTGAGGTATTATTACTTGTTAAGATTGACATATGGGCGACTGTGTACCATGAACCTGTATTGACCATTAAGATATCATCATCCATATTTAATAGGGCCTTTACAGAATGGACAGCAAGACTTCGAGATTTGTCCTACAAGAGAACAGTATGATTAGAAGGGTTTGACAAGAAACATAAGCTGACTGCTTTTGCTTTAGATAAAAGAAAGTACTTGTTAGTAATCTTGAAGAGATACTTAACCCATTTTTAGTTTAAAATTTCTTAATATCTCTAAATGAAAAGCTAACAAAGATAAATGATAAACAAAAAACATAACTTTGCTTAGCCTCAATTATGACTATTACAATTTAATTTTTGTATTGCACAAATGTAATCCCCAAATCTTTTAAATATGATCAGTAGATCAGTGGTGTCCTCTCTTAGATCCCATCCTTACCCCTTCACAAAAACCCATTCATCTGCTACTTCCATATTTTTCCTTCCAATGATGTTGTCACTTAAATTGCTACTTGCTCACAGAGACTAAAATGAAGATGTTTGAGAAGCTTAGTCAAGGGGACTTGACAGATTGGGCTTCTGCAGTTGGTTTCAGTGTTTGATGGCATAAGAGATTCTCCCCAAGAATTTGTGTGTGGTGAAGGGATAAACCTGAGAAGACCAAGGTAAATCTGAGGCAAGAATCGGAATCTATGGATGTGAACATGAATTTACACCTAACTTTTGGACCTTTTTGTTCTATTGAAACCACATTCCACCTCACATTCTCTGTTGCTAGTCTTTAAACACCTCTTACAAATCAAAGCTGTAAGACTACATTAAAGAGATTATGAAAAAGTATTCCATATTGCCTTTTCAAACGCAAGATGGCACTAGCATCTCCCCAGAAATAAAAGAAACGGTCTCGTTGTGTCTTCTCTTGATCCCTCCCTTCAAATAGAAAAGTACAGCCTTAAAGCCAGCAATGCAAATCTAGAAATCTGGGAGAAGGGTATGCTCCTTATACCATCACGCGAGACAAGGACGCCAGGGTGTAATGGGAGCGCCGACTGCAAGAGGCTCACGTCGTTCAGGCAACAATCAGGCCTATCACACCTCCCTGAGAGTCCATAAAAAAGGTCAACGGTGTTAGGTCTTATTTTTAAGTGGAGGGATTCTTTGAGTTGTTGAGAATCACAATGCAAGTAAATATTAGTTTACCTGAAAAATAAGTTTATAATCTTTGAAAAGATCTGTATTTGTAAGATCATTTTTAAGATGAGATGGAAAAATTAAGACATCACAGCAATGTTGGTCCACAGCAAAGACCTTATCATCAATGTGCAAGACAGATTTCACTTTATGATAGCCTCTCCTCTTCAGATTAGTATATACTTCTTCAGGGCTGTGAATATGAAACATTAGCTTATCATTGCAAATACCATACATTTTAATGTATTTGACACAAACGCCTTTTTCTGCAATGATGAAAAATACCACTGCATATACTACATCTAATGGAACACACCATTTTAGTCAGTGATAACTTAAAAGGTAACTGGAGACAGAAAAGTCAACCTATTTATGTGATCACCTTTGGAAGTTTGGAACTGACCTATGAGTCCCTAATCACTCCCTAGACATATCCCACACCCCTTGAAAAGTTCCTATTTCTTTATTGTGTTACTTTAAAAGGATGGAAACTAGCTGGGTTCAGTGGTTCATACCTGTCATCCCAGCACTTGGGAGGCGGAGGCGAGAGGAATGCCTGGGCCCATGGGTTTGAGACCAGCCTGGGCAACATGGCGAGATCTCATCTCTACAGTAATTCAAAAAGTTAGCACATGCCTGTAGTTCCAGCTTCTTGGAAGGGTGAGGTGGAAGGATCACCTGAGCCCATAGGTCGAGGCTGCGGTGGCTGTGAGTATGCCATTGCACTCGAGCCTAGGTGGCAGAGTAAGACTTCAACTCAAAAAAAAAAGGATGGAGATCTGAAATGTAAATAAAGACTTTGATTGAAACACTTACCTGATTTTACAAGTGTTTATCCAAGCATAAAGTGGTAGAGTGGAGGCCCTGAGCTCCTGTGCCCTGACAGTCTCTGGCAGAATGTGGTAGATGGACAGGGCATCGTGTTTGATGCGACATCTTGCCAGTGCTGCAGCCAATTTTGTCTTAAAACTAGAGACAGAAAAGCCATCCTTGAGCTACTGCATCTGAGACAAGACTACCATTTTCCACTAGGAACATTAACAGATTACATTTAGAATTTTGACAAATTCTTCTATAATTCCACTTAAGATTTTTGAAGTCTAAAAGAAAAATAGCTGGGCTTGGTGGCTCAGTCTGTAATACCAGAACTTTGGGAGGCTGAGGTGAGTGGATTACAAGCCCATGGGTTTGAGACCAGCCTGGGCAACTTGGTGAGACCTCGTCTTTACTATAAAATCAAAAATAGCCGGGCATGGTAGTGCACGTCTATAGTTCCGGCTACTTGGAAGGCTGAGGTGGAAAGATCACAGAGCCCAGCAGGTTGACACTGGAGTGGCCGTGAGCGTGTGGGCCACTGCATTTCAGCACGGGCGAAGGAGTGAGACTCCAACTCAAAAAATAAATAAAAATAAAAATAAACCGTATTTGAAAATACATCCAATAATCCTGATGCCTTTTTTCGTTTTGTTTTTGCTGCCCCTGTGTAGTTGTGCAATTTTTCAAATATTATATTGATTGCTGGTGGGAAGACAAATTTTATTTAGTGAAAAGGGTTCAGGATTTAGAGTCAGACAAACTTGGAGTTAAATACAGTTTCCATCACCTATTAGCTGCGTGTCCTCAGAAATGTTACTTAACTTTCTTTCTCAGCTTTAGTCTTCTCATCTGTAAAAAGGGGTCAACTTACCTTGCTGTTAATACAGTGATTACCAATCATGTGTGCAAAATCCTTAGCACAGTACCTGGTACATAGCAGGTACTATTACAGACTACTTATTGTGATCACAGATGACAACAGCACAGTATTGATCAGATGAAAGAACTTTCAAGAACCTGTATCAAGTTCTTCCCAGTTCTGAATATCCCATGCTTCAAAATTCCAAATAATTGAAGAAAAACAGGAACTGGTTACATCGCCATGAAGGCCTAATGATTTTTCTTGATCTCACTGCCCAGAGTTTTAATGAACGAGACGACAGGACTTCTTGGCCCTCTTTCACAGCATTCCACAGCAGGGGTCCAACTGGCATAAACCTCAAGGATACGCTGGAGAGAGAACCAGGAAGAGCCAAGTGCAGCCTGCGCTGTGGCTGGTGTGGCAGAGGGAAGATTCTCCCAGGAGATCAGCATCAGGCCCGCCTGCACGGTCGCAAGGAATGCTGGGAGGCAGGGTTGGTGTTCTTCCCATTAATCTCAGTCATTTTTTAGCACCAACTGTTAAATGCTACTTTCTTTTCCCTATGCCCGAAGTGTCCCTGGCTTAAATTTCTTATCTACTCAATAGAATGAGAACATGTCTCCGGAAAAATGGCTAACGTAGGAATAAGTTTGCATGTATGTTGAGGGAGAAAATACAGAGACGCTTGGGAGGGAGAGGGAAGAGTCACCAAACATTAGTCTTTAGAACTGCAATAAAATTAGGTTTGTCTAGTTCTATGTCTAACTGTTGCAGAACAAGGGACGCTAAAAAAAGGCACAGTACGTTAGTGCACATTAAAAAATAAATTAATATAAAGGGGGGCCAGGCTCAGTGGCTGTTTGTAATCCCAGCACTCTGGGAGGCCAAGGCAAGTGAACTGCCTGAACCCACGGGTTCGAGACTAGCCCGGGCAACTTGGTGAGACCTTGTCTCTACAATAAATCTAAAATTATCCAGGCATGGTAGTGCGTACCTATAGTTTTGGCTACTTGGAAGGCTGAGGCAGAAGGATCGGCAGAGTCCAGCAGGTCAATGCTAGGGTGGCCGTGAGTGTGCTATGGCCCTCCAGTCTGGGCTACAGAGTGAGACTTCAATTCAAAAAAAAAAAACATACATATATAAAAGGAGTGGGCTAATGTTCTATATATTTCACACTGTGAGGCAGTCCTGAGTGTAGATTGGTTTTGATTAAACAGTACTTCCAAATACCTACTTGGTTTAAATCTATAATAATAAATGACTGACTGAATTACTCAATCATTAAACATAAAAACTAGAAAAAAGAAACAGAAAAATATGTGTTGTGTCTATGGAGGGGTACAGGGAGAACTAATTCTCTAAATTTCCAGATGGTATTTTGGACTGTGAATTTTAACATCATCTAATCCAGTAAAAATAATTTACAGCAGAGATGCAGTTATCAAGCTTGCTATGCAAATATTCTGTATTAGACTGAGGAAAAAGGCAACCCAATGCTACCGAGATAAGAAGATGCCTGCATCTGTAAACGAAATGTCCTGTGGTTCCTTCAGACACCCCCTTAGCCCTAAGTCAGAAAGTCCACCATGAAGCACAGCAGCAAAGTCGCCCTTCCCACCCGCCTGCCTCGGAAGCCCTTCCCCATCACAATCTATATGTCATCACAGAGGGCAGTGGCCTGATCACCTCTTCTAGCAACATGCCTGCCACACAGACTGTCAGAGCCTCTTAAAAGTGTCAGCACTGTGTAATTCCCAGGCTTAAACTGTAGATGAGTTCCATCAACTGCAGAACAGAATCCCAGGCCCCTCACCCTATTTGAGGGTGTTCTCAGTTTAACCTGATTCAGTTCTTCCTGCCTTCATTCCCACCACTCTCACCCACAGCCCTATCTCCAGTCACATACTGAACTACTTGCCATGCCTTTATTTATGAATTGATTATTTGTTTGTTGCTTGACTGATTGAAAGAATCTCACTCTGTCACCCAGGCTAGGGTGCAGTGGTGCAATCTCAGCTCACTACAGCCTCTACCTGGGCTCAAGCAATCCTCCTGCCTCAGCCTCCTGAGTAGCTAGGACTACAGGCACATGCCACCATGCCTGGCTATTTATGGAGGTCTCGCTTGTTGTCCAGCCTGGTCTTGAACTCCTGGCCTAAGGTGATCCTCCTGCCTCAGTATCCCAAAGTGCTGGGATTATAAGCGTAAACCACAGCACCTGACCCTGCCACTCTCATACCCTATGACATGCAAGTCATGCTCCCTCTTTCTGTCTTTCACATTCTCCAGCTGAAGAAGCGCAGCCCCTCACACCTGCCCACAGCCTCCTGGCCGTCCTTCCTGCAACACTCCCAGCCAATCTCATGCCTCCTCTGTCAGCTGCATAAAAGAGTAAGAGCCAACACAGTACTTTCTCTCAGTTTATTTTTATTTTTTTATTGTAGAGACGAGGTCTCATCAAGTTGCCCGCGCTGGTCTCGAACCCGGATGCTCAGGCAATCCACTTGCCTCAGCCTCCCAAAGTGCTGGGATTACAGGCTAAGCTACCGAGCCCAACCATCCCTCAGCTTACTTTTTAGGTAAATGGGCTTTACTCCTTTTTGGCTTTAACATTTTCAGAAATGGTTATCTAATTTCTGACTCAAGTGTTTAAATGACATTGCCCATGCCTAACACATCAGGAATGGGTTTCTCTTTAAACATAGACTTAATAAAGTCACACACTGTCTAACGACGTTTAGGTCAACAATGGAATGGGTAGACAATGGTGGTCCCATGAGAGTACAGCACTGTATCTGCACTATACCTTTTCTATGTTTAAATATGCTAAGGTCACAAATACCTCCCACTGTGTTACAACTGCCTACCATACTCAGTACAGTCATATGCTGTGTAGGTGCGTAGCCCAGGAGCAATAGGCTAGACCATATAGCCTCAGTGTGCTGCAGGCTAGACCATCCAGGCTCGTGTAAGGACACAATACGGTGTTCACAAAACAACACTGCCTAATGATGCACTTTTCAGGTTGTGTTTCCGTCATGAAGTGATGCAGGGTTGTCTTTTCTTAATGCCAAAGATAATCTTCAATGAATTGCCTGAATTTCCCAGAAAATATAAAATCAGACATCAGTTCTAGAAAAGGTGGAGGGAATGGGAGAATCAAAAGCCCATGAACGTGTTTAAGGGGTCTTCTAGAAAACAAGAAACTCTGGAGCATTTGGGGAATGAGAACCGGGGAAGAAGGAAAAAGACTTAATCTGAGCAAGCGTGTTTATCCTGAAGTGCATGGCGGCTTAGCATCTGTAAGCCACTCCATGGAGACTGCTTACCACGTAATAGAATACAGAGCAAAACAAAAGAAAGAAGAATATCTCAACCTTCTAGAGCTCTGTCTGTTTTCTTAACTAACAGGAAGTCCATCTATTGTCCCAAGTGAAGTCTGAAAGATTCCCTCAAGCCTGAAGCCAGGACTGTCCAAGGCTCCCCTCACTGACTGTCATTCTCTCGGGGACCGAGTTCATACACTGCTTCCCGCCTCATGGCCAAAACCTACACCCTATCAATGTTGCCTATTTTTCTAGTGTGACAGGAGAAATCTAGTCCAGGAGACCCATCGTGACTGTAGAATTATGCTATGAACTTGTCACCCTGTCAGCCATGTGGAATCAACTGTGGGCAGGTCAGAGTCACAGACCAGGGGTTCACTGAGGGCTCAATTTCCAGCACATGCACTTTGAGGACACATTCAAACCACAATACATCCAAACAGCAACATGTAGCATTTGTTGGCCATTTGCTGTGTGTCTGGCTCTAAACTGTGCATTTTAGTTACATTTGTTTCATTAGTTATCCCAAGTACCCTTGGAGATACAACCTGTCATTACCCTCCGGGTGGGCTTCTGTTGACATTTGGGATAAAAAGAAGGCAAATTCAAAACATGTTAGTTTTTTCTTTACTAAGTGGAATTTGTTTTCAATTTAGCAAAATAGTGGGTTCTTATCTACTGTTGGGATTCGCTGATACATGTTAGTCTTTGTGGTTTTTTGTTTTTTTTTTTAACAAAGCTGTAAACAAAGCTAACTGAACAAATAACAGCTGTTTCAAATACAGTTTGATTTATGTGATAAAAATTATCAGGAATTTGTAATGCTTTCCCACTGCTTACAAACTGAATCTTGCAATTCAAGTTTTGAAAAACAACATGATTTTAAGCAAAATATCTAACTTGTTCAAGACTGTTTTCAAAGGAACTCGAGAAATTTAAATGTATAAACTTTTATATTTTTTCCTGTAAATTTCAAGACTTATTTATACATTACACTGTATATAATTTTACCAATAAAAATACCAATATTGGCCAGGCACAGTGGCTCAAGCCTATAATCCCAGCACTTTGGGAGGCCAAGGCATGAGGACTGTCTGAGCCCTGGGGTTTGAGACCAGCCTGGGTACCTTGGTGAGACCTCGTCTCTACAATATATCAAAAAATTAGCCAGGCTCGGTAGCTCAGCCTGTAATCCCGCGCTTTGGGAGGCTGAGGTGAGTGGATTGCCTGAGTCTGTGGGATCGAGACCTGCCTGGGCAACTTGGCGAGACCTCATCTCTACAATAAATCAAAAATTAGCTGGGTGTGGTAGTGCGCGCCTGTAGTTCCAGCTACTTGGAAGGCTGAGGCGGAAGGATGGCCGAACCCCAGCAGGTCAAGGCTGCAGTGGCCAGGAGCAGCCGCTGCACTCTAGTCTGGACGATGGAGTGAGACTCCAACTCAAATATATATAATATATCAAAATATATATATAAATATATCAAAAATTAGCCAGGCATGGTAGTTCGTGCCTGTAGTTCCAGCTACTTGGAAGGTTGAGGCAGAAGGATCACCTGAGCCCAGCAGGTCAATACCAGGGTGGCGGTGAGCGTGCCTGCACTCCAGCCTGGACAACAGAGCAAAACTCTGCCTCAAAAAAAAAATACCAATATTGATTTCATATTAAATATCTTTTTTCTTTTCACTTTTACATTACCTGTTGAGAAAGTTCTCTACCTCTTGAACTTCCGATATAGACTCTTCATGATCAGAAAGGACACGAGTTTGAAATTTTCTATCTTGGAAATCATACAGCATCACAATAATGAGACTACTCAGATGATCTGGCTGGCAAGGGAAAACACACATTAGAAAAAAGTATACAAATAATATCTAATAGCAATATTTTCCATTCCATTATTTTTCATAACAGTAGGAATATGACTTCTTTTACACAGTCTGTTGGATTTGGAGATAGGGAAGGTCTTCAAAATAGAAAAAATCCAGCAAAAAAAACAACCTTTCAAAAGAGACCATTTTTGAATGTTCGCCAAAATGAAAGATATTAGAAGTAGAAAAGTATTTGAAGTATTCAAAGTAGGAAAGAATCTGTTTTAAAGAGGTCTCATAATTAAGCATTAAACCTGAAGGCTTTTTGATACTTTCTTTTAAAAAAAATCATGAGGGCAACCCCGTAGGGTCCCCTCCCACTGTGGGAGCTTTTCTGTCCTCTCAAAAAATCCTGCTTTCTCAAAACAAACAAACAAACAAAAAAATGAGACAAATTAATCCTAAAAGTTATTTACTTACTATTGTGGCACTGGGGAAGATATAGCTGTCTATCAAAATAGTTTCCAAAATATCTTGATCTGGAAGACAAGAGAAATTTATGTTACCAAAAATACCAAAGATGAAAACAGTAACTTTGGAATAAAAATATACTTTAGGCTGGGTGCAAAGGCTCTTGCCTGCAATCTCAGTACTTTGGGAGGCTGAGGTGGGAGAACTGCTTAAGCTCATGAGTTCAAGACCAGCCTGGGCAACACAGCAAGACCTCGTCTCTACAAAAAATAAAAAAATTAGCCAAGTGTGATGGCTTGTACCTGTAGTCCCAGTTACTTGGAGGCAGGAGGATTGCCTGAGCCCAGGAGGTCAAAGTTGCAGCGTGATAGAGTGAGACCGTGACTCAAAATAAAATAAAAACTTTAATCATGGCATCAAATACTTTTACTTTCATATCTAAAATACGCCACCATTCCTCATAAGGACTTAAATTACAACGACCATGATGAAATATTCATAATTTTTATGAAAGCTGGACCTTCTGGCCCAGGATCCACACGGAATCCTAGTCAAAAAGCATGATCTGAATAGCTGGAGTAGTCATGAGAATTCCAACCTTTAATGTATGTCCCTTGAAAAACATTAAAGAGGATTAATTAATAATGTTGAGCAACCATCCCCTTATCCTTTTTATATATTGCTGGGTTTAATTTGCTAATGTTTTCTTTATAATTTTTGTTCTATGTTTATAATGTTGGCCTATAATTTTTTTCTTATTGGTATCAGGGTTATGCAGCCTTATGAGTGGGAACTGTCCTCTCTTCCTCTATTCTTGTGTTAAATTGTTATTATTTCTTTACCATTTGGTAAAACATTGATGTATGAAATTTAATCCAAGACCCAAATGACAGAAGTGAGCCGTGTAAAGACTTGGGGAGAGGTAACATTCCAGGCAGAGGGCATGATCACTGCAAAGGCAGTGAGTGGGAATAGGTGGACGTATTGAAAACCTCACAGGGAACAGGAGTGTTCTTTTTGTTATAATCGCTAAAACTACATGCATTGGATCACAAATTCCTTCATCAGGTGAACAGAAAGCTGGGCCTGGCTTCTGTTCACCCAACGCTTACAGAAAGCCACATCAAATTTCCGTTTTTATTTGGGAGGTGGGAGAGCTAGAAAGAAGTGGCTGATTTGGGAGCACCGGCTCCCAACCCCCCCTGGGAACCATGACCCATGTTCCGGCCACCAGTTAGGCTGTGTGGCCCAGGGTAAGTAACCCCCCTGCCCCATCAGCAGGGGCTCACAGTTTCACACCCAGGTGCTCCCAGGCCAGCCCCTTCCTACTTCGTGGCTCCTTGCCTAGTACCAATTCTTGTCATAGGAAGTACAACCCTCACCGGAATGAAGGAGCTCTAACTCAGCGGCCCTGAGCAGGCTGTGGACTCTGGCAATGGAGGCCGGGACTCCTAGGCAACAGACGAGGTAGAAGGAACAGACGGAGGACAAAACACGGCTTCAGCGCTGCTTTTGCTTTTGCCCCCTAGAGTTCCTATTGAAACTGATCCCACCTCGGAGATGCCCTTGACGTTGTGCAGAGGCGCTGCCTTTGCTTGTCCACAACTTTCCCAACATTCTCACATAGTAATATCCACACGGGTAACCATGTACTTTACACAGATCCTCCTTCATCTACGACGGCGTTGCACCCCAGTGAGCCCACTACAAGCTAAAACCATCACACACTGAAAAGACCTGTGGAACCTCCAACCCATGACAGCGCGGCCCAGCCAGCCTTCAATGTCTCAGAGAGCGGCCACCAGCCAAGCCATCTAACACCAAGGCTGGGCCAGTCACCACATCACGCTTCCTTTCTCATCTTATTCACTTAACAAACCAACCACGCTCTGGGACTCACCAAACCAGCAGGGTTTGCTGAGAGCTGTACAAGCCACCCACCCATGGTGCCAGCAGGTCCCAGCCCCCACTCCTTATCCGCTGCTCTGACCGCCACTCTTTCCCGTGGAGGCCTTTCCTGGAGGAGTACCTGAGCTTCCTCTCTGCCCTTCACCCCACAGGAAGGAAAACTTGAGTTTACAAGAAAGGGAAGGCATGCTGAGGGGTGGTGCCTGGGACCATGGAGCCCCTTGCAGGGTCCTAGGAGGTGGCCTCTTTGGAATAACTGGCCACTGATGGAAGGATCTTTTTTTTTGCCTGGGGCCTTGGTTATGAGCCTGAGCTCTGGGGCAGCCAGAGGCTGAGCCACCAAGGTCAGTCACAGAGCTCTTGTGGAGGGAACCAACCCTCAGTGAGCACAGGCACAGGCAAACTTCAGGGCTGATGACACTCCCTCAGTGCTGGCACTCGTCACTGTCAAGGTAAGGGTGGGAGGGAAACAAGCACACCCCCAGGAAGACCCAATGGCAGCTCTTCCTTGGCTCCCCAGCCTGCCCTGCACATCACACCTCGACTAGCTGATTGTAGTGTCCTTTTACCGAAATCAACTGTGAACACGAGCACACCAGATTTGCAAGCTCTGTGATTCCTTCTAGCAAACTGTTGAGCCTGATGGTGGTCTAGAGAACCCCTGACCACCTGTAATCACTAATTCCCAAAAGCTACAGCCAAACCAGATGACGAGCACTTACTACAGGAGTACATCACACACGAGAAGTCAGAGACAGAATAAAGCCAGAAAAAAGGCCCGCAATTCAATTCGTCTCTCTCTCCCTCCAAGTGTTTTTTTTTTTTGAGTCAGGGTCTCACTTTGTCACCCAGGCTGGAGCACAGTGGCCCAGTTACAGCTCACCGCAGCCTCTGCCTCTTGGGCTCAGGCAATCCTTCCGCCTCAGTCTCCTGAGTAGCTGGGACTACAGACGCACACCACCACGCCTAGCTAATTTTTTTAAAAATTGTTTGTAGAGACAAGGGCACAGTATGTTGCCCATGCTAGTCTCATACTCCTGGCCACAAGTAATCCTCCCACCTCAGCCTCCCAGAGTGCTTGTGTAAGCCATCACGACTGGCTGATTTCTTTTTTAAAGAAACAACTAAATTAGCCAGACAAGGTGACACACACCTGTAGTTCCAGCTACTTGGAAGGCTGAAGCAGAAGGATCATCTGAATCCCGAGATTGAGGCTATGGTGGTTGGGAGCCTAGGCAACAGAGTAAGACTCCAACTCCAAAAAAAAAAAAAAAAAAAGGAAATAAACTTTGTCAGTTTTTCTTCTTTTTAAATATTTAGTATTCCATGAAACATACAGAGATTCTTTGGAGAAAAAAAGGAAATAAAGTAAATTAGCTCCCAATACCCTATTACTGTGACAGAACTCCAACTTAATAAACGCAGGCTACTTTCCATGAGTAATCCTACCTCCTTTAGTAGAAAACTGGCCTTGAGGTTATTTGGTAAAGCAGACTGATGGCCACCTTCATTTCAACAAACATTTTACAGAGCCCTTTAGACCTTTAAAAGGTTAATCAGATAAATATACTTCCTGCCTTGAAAGAGCCGACATACAACAAAGAACATCAGCAAAGGAACAAACAATAAAAGTAAAAATAAATAAAACAACCAAAGGTACACACTTTTTTTTTTTTAGTTGGGGTCTCACTGTGTCGCACAGGCTGGAGTGCAGTGATATGATCACAGCTCACTGCAGCCTTCACCTCCTGGGCTCAGGTGATCCTGTCACCTCAGCCTCCCAAATAGCTGGGACTACAGGCAGGCACCATCACACCCAGTTAATTTTTTTATTTTTCTGTAAAGATGAGGTCTTGCTATGTTGCCCACTCTGGTCTCGAACTTCAGGCTGGGTGCAAACAATCCTCCCGCCTCAGCCTCTCAAAGCGCTGCGATTACAAGCATGAGCCACCACACCTGGCCAAAGGTACATAGCGTTTCATTAATGCAATAATTTTATATAGAACTATAACTTGGGCTTTTCTTATTGATATCTAAAGATTTAGTATTCCATGAGGAAGACAAGTTGCCCATAACAGAATCCTAACATTAACAGTAAATACCGATAAATCAGCACAGCTGCCCTGGCTGCATTTCACTGCTGTAAGGAAAAAAAGCAAAAATGCCCATGCGATGGACTGTGTAAATTACAACAAGCTGATCAGGGGAGAGAAGGAAGAAACAGAGTCTAGATTAAATGGAGGAGGCAAAATGGTGAAGGTCGATTTAAAAGGAAAACAAGAAATTCCAAGCCTGAGAAGATAAAGAATGAGAGCCACAGAGATGGTGCCTCTTGACGCCACACACGCTTTTCTCTGGGACAACGAGTTTCTTCAGTGCTGAGGGACATCGCCTCAGCAGACATCAGAATCACACGTGTGTGTCTGACCAGGGGGCTGCTGATGCCCGAGCACTGTGCTACTGCCTCCCACGTGAGCACTCATGCCAGAGTCCGTGCAGGGGGCATGCCTTCTTGGGGCATCTCTGGGGGCAGGGTGTGCTCACTTCCAGCCAAACTGTCACACAGTCAATTTACACACCAACATAAAGTTCTCAGTCATGGCCAGAGAAAGCACACAGCTCTAGGCCTTGACAGTCTTGGATGCAGCAACACCACGGGGATGACCAGTGCCAAGAGCTGATAAGCAGCTGCCACAGGGGGCCGGAAACACGCGTGTCCTCCAAGCCTGAAGGAACGGGAAAGGGGAACCTGCCAGAGCCCAGCTCCCAGGATGGAAGCCAGGGGCCACAGACGGGGTCAGCTTCAAGGGCGTCATCTTCACTTCAGGGTTTGCTGTTAAATACTGCAGCTCTCCCATGAACCACCCCCCCCCCCAGTTTTATCTTTGGAGGTGCTGTCAGCTAAGTTCTGGGAAGGAGAAACACACACAGGAAGGGAGAAGATGACTGCTCACCCCAGAGGAGTCTTATTCTCGAGGTTCCTAGTGCAGCATAAGGACATTGCACCTGTCTAGGGACAACGCCCTGTGATGGGCACGGGGCAGGGCATCTGCAGCCTGCCAGGGAGGAGCCAACATTCCCTGCAATTGACCAAAGGTAAGCTTTAAAAAAAGCTGGCATGAGCCAGGCTCGGTGGCTCAGGTTTGTAATCTCAGCACTTTGGGAAGCCAAGGTGGGAGGCGGCTTGAGCCAAGAGGTTCAAGAACAGCCTGGGCAACATAATAAGTCCTCATCTCTGTAAAAAGTTAAAAAATGAGCCAGGTGAGATGGTGCACACCTGTAGTCCCAGCTACTCAGGAGGCTGAGGCAGAAGGATCACCTGAGTCCAGGAGGTCAAGGCTGCACTCCAGTCTGGGCTGGGCAACACAGTGAGACCCTGAACCCTGGCATGCAGGAGGCAGGGACCAGGCTGCACCCACAGATTCCCTGTTGTCATTTTCTTGTGCCCACCCTTGAGACTGCACGACTCACATTTCAGGGCACTGAACGCCAACTCATAGGACAAACGCTTCAAGGCTTCATCCTTGGACTCAAACTTGAACAGCGAGGGCAGTGGCTCACTCCCATACTTGATTAAGACTTTATCTGGCGACTTTTCCATCCGAATGCCCTGGAAAATGTTGGCTGCCATCACGTACACCTGGTCTGGGTAGCCTGTTTTCTCGGGGGCACTAGCAGAGCTCTTCCCAGTGGAGGCCACATCACCCGCCAGCGCCAGGTAGGCAAGCTGGGACAGCTCCTCAGTGTCCTTCTCGTTGGGAAACTCCAGCTCACTGGTGGAGTTGGGCATGGTGGCCCCGATGTCACCAACTCAAACTTGAGTTACAGTTAGGCTGTTTCAGGACTCAGTTTCCCTCATGCCTGCAGCATGGTCTCTGTGAAAAGAGAGTGCAACCTCGGTAAAGCGTTATTCCTGAAGCCCCACATGATGGCCACCTGCGTGTGGCCTTAAAGACTAAGAGGTGACATTTACTGGCCCATCCGAGCACCTCACACTTAGAGCCGCAGACGAGACACATCCACATACTCAAAAAAGGGAGGATGGCCAAGGGTGGTGGCTCGCACTTGTGATCCCAGAGGCTGGAGGCTCGCTAGAGGCAGGTAGTTCTAGACCAGCCTAGGCAACATAGGGAGACCCTCCCCCCGCCACCCTCAAGAATTGAGAAATGAAAATAAAGACAAAAAAGGGAGGATGGCTGGGTGTGGTGGCTCACACCTGTAATCCTGGCCTTCAAGAGGCCAAGGTGGGGGTGGGGGATGCCTGACAGAGTTCTAGACCAGCCTGGACAACATAGCAAGCCTCCCCCCACCACACACACACACAAAATTAATTGACCAAAAAAAACAAAGACAAAAAAGGGAGGATGGTGGGGTGTGGTGGCTCATGCCTGTGATCCCAGCTTGTGGGAGGCCAAAGCAGGAGGATCGCTTGAGGCAGGTAGTCCTAGACCAGCCTGAGCAACACTGCTCAGGCAACACTGCGAGACCCCCTCTCTACAAAAAATAAGAATTAACTGACAAAATAAAACAAAGACAAGAAAGGAAGGATGGCTGGGCGCTGTAGCTCAGCCCTGTAATCTCAGCATTTGGGGAGGCCGAGGCGGGAGGATCGCTTGAAGCCAGGAGTTCGCGGCCAGCCTAGACAACATAGCGAGGGGCCATTCCTATTAAAAGTAAAATAAAAAATGTTTCTCAAAGATAAGAAAGGGAGGAAGGGTGGGGAGGCGTCTGGAGCTTCGCCTCCGCGGAGATCGGCGACTTTCGCCGGGGACAGACTCCCCGGAGGCAGCGTCTGCGGCCCCGCGATCCCCCCTACCCGAGGGCGGACGCGTCCCG